AACTGTAGAACTTGTATGATGGACGGATGGCTTCGGAGTTTTTATCACTATATTATTAATTGTTGGCAGCACTTATTTCTTACTTACTTTCTATTTACTAATCTATATTTCAACCTTGGCAGCGATTGAATAGTTCTAGGCTTCTAGCTACGTCTTTCTGCTTCTTTGCCCCCATATGTTGCTAGTGCTGCAATTACAGCTATCCTGGAGGAAAATCCCAATCTTATTACACAACTGAAGAATAACATTGCTTTGTGATCTCAATGCATGTTCCTTCAGTAGCACCTGTTTTTTGGATTTTGCACATCATCTGATAGTGTGAATTGTTGTTTACTTGTATTTTTTCTGAAAACCTTAAAACAAAGGTTTTATTTTTTTGGTAAATGCATTGGCTTCTACAGGATTGTCAAAAATATCAACAGGTTCCATGCAAGATGACCTAATTCTGCTTGAAAATATTGCTGAGCGTGTAAGGGAATGCTGTTTGTCAATGTTAATGGCTTGTTATTACTTTTGCTTGTTATTAATATGGTCTATATATTAAAAGGTTTTGGGAGAAGATTCGGTATTTGTGGTGACCTCCAAGAGATCCATGTTGGGTAAATGTCGTTTACCTGTTGGAATTATGTTGTTTGTTTCGGCAGCATTCAGAGGGCGATCTTCTTAAGAGTTGCAACACTAGTACTGGGGTGTCATAACTGAACATATATATTCACCTCTCTTTTCCTTTCTCTCAATTTACATTATCACACTTCTCATGTGTTAAAACGAGGAATTTTGGAATCCGACCTGAATTGGTCAGGAGTTGTTGATAATTTAGGTAATACTTTTGTAACTCAGATCACCTGCGATTTATAAGCAATAACAGTCGTGATGTTATTTTTCCATTTGAGGCACACATAAATATTACTTCACCTAGGCTGTTTTACCTTTGAAACGACAGCAGAGGGATCCAAAAGCAAATTTAGAATTGGAAAACGGGTGTATATTGTTTTTTTTTATAGATATTTTCCGGATATAAACTAAAAGTGTTATCGAGAGTTTCTTTATTGAAAATAAAAAATATTTTTTTAAGTAGAGAAATTCTAAAAGTATTTCTAAGTTTATATCAAACAGGCAAAATGTCTCGAATCTTTAGAAATATGGCTAGACGTGATTTTAATTCTCCAATTTTACTGTTAGTTTTTATCTTCATAAATTTTTAATTTTTAAAAACGGCCTCTTGTCATCACTTAATGATGATGTATAACATATTTTAAGGGATTGTACGAAGGTCAAAGACACATGGTATGCCTTAGGTGCTTATCTGCCACATGATTTCTTGATGGCACCCTTAACTGGTGGTTTTTTAGGAACAGTGGATTTTGCTTTGGTAGAGCAATTAGTAGAGTGGATGTTTGTTCTTGTTCACATCATCCCAACATTTGGATGAGCCCTAATATGTTGGTTTTTGAAGGAGTGTCTTGATTCAATGGCCAATGGAGGATGGACATTATGAAGCATATGGGTTCAGCCGACGGCTTATCTGCCACATGATTTCTTGATGGCACCCTTAACTGGTGGTTTTTTAGGAACAGTGGATTTTGCTTTGGTAGAGCAATTAGTAGAGTGGATGTTTGTTCTTGTTCACATCATCCCAACATTTGGATGAGCCCTAATATGTTGGTTTTTGAAGGAGTGTCTTGATTCAATGGCCAATGGAGGATGGACATTATGAAGCATCTGGGTTCAGCAGACGTCATAATATCTGAACTTTGGGCATTTATTTTGCTCTAGAGTTGGTTTGGACCGCAAGATTTAAGCAACTTAATTTATGCAGTTCTTGTTACAAGGAGTTGGAACCACTCTTCCGTATAGTGCTTTGGTAGAGCTGATTCTCGAGGGATTGCGAGGTCACAATAATGCATGCATGTTTAGAAAATCTAATATGGTAGCAGATTTATTAGTTGTTTTAATCCCATTTTGTACTTTGACTAAGTTTGACAACTTTATTTTTAAAATCTAAATTTATTAAAACTATATTTAAAACCCCAATATTAATATGGCAACACAAGTTTTGAACCCTCTAATGTGCATCACACTGCACACGCATACCTTCAGAACATCATTAACAGGAATTTCTTCTTCCCTCTATTGTTGAAGAAACTAGATCCACGTAGAGATGCAATAGCTTTTATAACCAACGATGCAAATTATAAAATCAATCCCAAAAGTACTTTTCACGTTTTTTTTCAGAAAAAATTGACGAGAGGGAAGAGGAACCCTTCCACGATTAGAATTGCTCTTCTTAAAGTTGGGTGACACAACACAATCATCATCAATAGGTAAGTGGTGGCTTCGATCGTAAAAAAAAAAAAAAAAAAAAACAAAAGTGGTTTCTTTATTCTGTTTCGGACCACTCAGAAAGTAAAATCTTTATTCTGACCTTTGACGAATTTAAAGTAAGGATTGGTAGTTTGACACGCGATTATATGTTATTTTTTTTATTATTTTTTTTGCTGTACATTGATCCTGCTTAATTTATAGGTTGTTAAACGCTAACCATCCAAAGCGAAAGCAGAACAGATGAAATTCTTCTTAAGTGGTCATCAAAGATAATGGTGGACAAACAAAACCACATGTTTGAATAGGGAGATTAAAAAATTTATTCTATGTTCATTTCACAAAAGATTTCATTGAATTCTCTTGACATTTTCAATTGTTTATTGCAGTCAAATCTTACAAAAATAAATAAGCAAAAATATTTCTCTTAATCATGTAAGTTGAGATTTCAACAATTGAATGATTAACTACGAGTGGAATAAGACTACTGTGAATAACTTTTTTTAATGCAATTACTTATTCATATATAACTCGCATTCGAAACTAATAATTACGATAGAACTACTCACATTATTGATTCATTTGCACTCAAACATAATATTATAGTTATATTAAATATTTTGATTTTATTTATTTTATATTAACATTTATATTAATATCCTCTAAAAAAAACATTTATATTAATATATTAAATCATTTGGATTGAAAAAATATGGTTAAGAGAAAGATTCTCTAAAAATTGTGGGTCAGATTTTAAAATAGTGATTAGTTATCGTATAAGTGCGTGAATACTATATTCTAATAATATGATTATAAAAATATATTAATATATACAGTAAAAGTTTTAATCTTTCATCAGAATTTTAAAAAGATAATTGATTATTCTACTTCTTATCTTTGAGATTATGTTTTAAATTTATTTCCTCAAATCCTGATTACTAGTTTTGAGCTAAAGTTACATTATTCTTGCGGAACATAAATTATTAACAGTGATACCGAAGAAAGAATATATGTTTGACTGATGTTAACATATAATTTTTTTTACGGGAACTAGTATAATTACGAATATATATGATATTTATAATAACAAAGAATAATTATAATTAGTTCAGGAAAAATATACTTTTGAAATTTACAAAAGTATAAAAGGAATTTATTCGCAGACTTGGGTTAAGGATGTGTTTAGAAATTTATTTGTAGTCTTTTGGATCTGTGTGGTAAAAAAAATCTATTTATCTATAATTCATTTGATCAATAAACTAGTAAATTCATATATTTGATTTTATGGACTACATCAAAATTTATTGAATTATAATATGAAATATTTATTAGATTAAAATTTTAAAAGACTATTTTGATATTAAAAAAAATCTTGTAAATTTTAATAAATTATATAAAAATGTAATTACTTATAAAGAAAGGAGAGAAAAACAAAATATTTCAAAAATAAAAATAATTTAATTTTAAAATATTATTTTTATGGATGTATTTAATATCTTTCCATAAAAAAAAATAATAAATAGATTGAATTTTTTAAATAAAATAGATAGATCAAATTTTTAAATAGATTTTTAATAAATTTAAATAAATTATTTTTATTTGATAATTCACTTAAAAAAAATATTCAATCCATCTTTCGGTCATCTTGTTTCGAACCAAGTTTCAACTTTCTAATGCAACAAATAGAGAAATAGAAGGAAAAGGATGGAATAATTCGCGCTTCACGGAACTAAATTTCAAACACACATTAAGAATATCAAAGTTAGGCAAATGCAATATTGTCTATATCGGTTGTTTCATTCCTATTCCTTAAAATTAATTTTTATTACCAAATTATTATTGTATTTTCTCATCTTTCATCCCTACTCTATACTCCTTTCATTCCAAAATAATTGTTAATTTTGGATGTTTTATATGTAAAAAAAAATATATGAAATAGAATAATAATTTTACTAAATTGACTTAATATCTAATTTTACAAGATAAATAAATAACTAGATGAGAGAACCTTAATATTAAGAGTATAAATAAATAAAAAATATATAATTAATACTATCAAGAAAAGTTAAAATAACAAATATTTTAAGATAAATTTTTTTTCTTTTGTGAGAGTAAAAATGAAGTTTCTTTTTTCCTAAACATATGAAAACACAATGAAACACGTCGTCACCATCTGCAACGCTCGTGGTTTGCATTTTCCTCTTCAGTGTTTTTACCAAATGAAAGCCATGACAACAAACATCCACGACTAGTCAACCACTACCCTTTCTATCAGCAGAAGAATGAGAAGAATAAAAAGGGAGTTCTAAATTCTTATGTGCAAAATTATTAGTTTACTCTTCTATATTAATTTTAAGTTTCTCTTTAGTCTTCTGTTTATTTGAAATGACAAACTTTTGAAAAGTTCTATTACCAATTAGGACTCACCTAACGGTATTAATGCCTTAAAAAAACTAATGTTAGGTGCAATAGCGGATTTGAAAGGAAGGATAACATCACAATTAAATACAAGTCAGAGGGCTAAATTGACAGAAAATAAAAAAAAATAAAGGACCAAATCAAGACTTTAAAAGAACATGGAAAACAAAACCATATTTCAGTCTATAATAGATATTAATTTTCTGATGATCCTTCTTTTCCATCCTTTTATATGTTGCCGTTTCTAACAACCATTCACGTGAAGAAGCAAATAAAATGTTACATTAAAAACTGTTGGTACAAACAGTTCTACACTTGTATTCTTTATTTTCAGTCAGTTGAAGCCTGAAAGTAAATTTTTAATTATATGAGGATACAATATTTACAGAGGGGGTGGTTATGTTCTCTTCAAAAAGAAAAAATGAAATGCCTGGCCACTTGAAAAAAAAAAAAAAAGTAGAAAACGAGAGACAAACTGTATTTGACTAGTTAGTCAATGTTAAGCCTCCACAATGGGTGATGATAGATAAAGTAGTGTGTCACGTATATGAATCTCTTTCTCTGTGTGTTCTGTATATGTTCGTGTATGACTAATCGATGCTGAAGATCCCACTCAGATGGTGAGACACATCAAACACTCTTCCCCACGAAACTCTTGTATGTGCAAAGAAAACCATGTCCCATAGACCATAGGGACAATCAACCAACCATGATGTTGAATGCCAGAGCCAAGACAATGTACCGATGTTCACTCTTTGTTGTCATCTATGATGCTGTGTGTGGGGATTTTCCAGAACCATCCAAGACGATTTCAAATAGATCAGCCTCAGACTCCTCATCAAAATCCAATGTTCGATTATTATTGATATTATTATTATTATTATTATTATTATTATTTCCATTGTTGTGGCTTCCTTTGGTTGTGGACCGGTTGAGCCACTGAGAGTCGATCCTTCCCATTGAGAATAGTTCCCTGCTGTCATCATAGCCCAATGTAGCAGGTGAATTTACAAGTGGGGCTATGAAGCATGGATTTGGTGTTCTCTGGGCATTTGCAGGTGCATATTTAAATGCACTTTGTCCAAAATTAACTAACACCATAATGTCTATGTTTGCAGCCAAGATTGGAAACAGTGGTGTGCCAAATTCCTCTGTCTGGCAGTGAATTACATGCATTAGCTCTGAGTCTAATGTGAAGAAAACCTTCTTCTGTCTAGGATCAAACCCACAACCAATCACTCTATCGGTTCCTACCCATTCAGCCTTCTCCGATTCACGTACAAGTTTCATTCCTGTAACCAAATTGCATACTTAGATGCCTCTAAAGATGCCAAAACAATATAGCAGAAAATGAAATACAAACCGAATTTCCAAAAAAAGTATTTCAAAAACTAAAAAAACAGAAATAGTAGGAAAACGTTTTCTGATCCTATTTTCACAATACCCAAAATGAAATTTCCCATCCAAAACTTCACAAGTTTTGATTTTCTCATCTTATTCTAATTGAACAGAACAGAAAGTTGTGCCTTGCACCACCATCCATTAGCTATATGAACATCCTAGTTCAATTTCATTTTGAGAACAAAAAAGAGATTTTGAAAACACAATTATAATCCCAATCCCGATAGACAACAAAATAACAGAACAAAAAAAGACATACTAGTTGTTACTAACTGTTAGCATTAACAAGTATACCCAATTTTGTCTACAAAACTCTACCTAATTAGGTCAAAGGGAAGCAAACGAAATGAACATGAAGACTAAAGAGTTAGTAGTTACACTTACCATCAAGATAGAGAGAACCGTTGGAGTTGAAGCCGATGCTGCCAGGGTAGCTACCAGGAAATCTCAAAGGAACAGAACCCAATGCTGTTAACCCCAACGAGAACATCACAGATTGACCTTTCCCATTCCCATTCCCACCCTCTCCTTCAACATTGTTGACTTTATTACCATTCCCACTAGTAACATGAACCAAAGCCTCCGAATTCCCTTTACCATTAGACTTACCCTGAACCAAAAGCTTGGTCTTTTCACCCTCCTTACTCTTCCCAGAAACCGATTCACCCTCATCCCCACGAGAATACAAAATAGTAATCTCAAAATACGCCTCTTGCGGAAAAGCACAGTGCCCCAAAGGAGGCCCAGGCAGAGGCAAAGCCCCTCTGATAATAGAAGCAACATTCATAGATAAGTTGTGGTTTTGTTGAGAGTTTTTGATCCCAGGGTTCAACCTGACCTTCTGCATAAACTCAGCAGATCCACGTGACACTTCCCAGCTTATCTCAGCCCCCGATTCCCTCTCTCTCTCTCTCCCCGAATCGTTTCCCGGCGCAGCGCAAACTCCTAAAAGCGTTGATCTTTTCGAAGGAGACGGCGTGTAACTCTTGTAGCCCGTGAAAGCAAATCGTGACCACCCGTTTTCAACGGCATCAGCGGCCATAGATGGATGATCACCCCAGTTGAACAAGCCTCTTTTCCCAGACACGCTGCCACGAAAAACATAATAATTGTTGTAGCTTCCCTTGCTGTTCTTGTTTCCCTGATCCAACTCAAAACCCTCTTCAATCCCTCCCTGAACGTTCTCCACTCTGGTCGGTTCCACGAAATTCCTGTGCCTTCTTCTGTGACACCAACGCCAGAGGAAGACCAAGAGAAGGGTTGCCACGCATCCCACGGCGGAGGCCGCCACCGCCACGCGTATCCACCGGCTCATCGCTTTCTGAATGTTCCTTCTTTGCCTTGCGGGTTTGTATGCATAGATGAGAGAAAAGATGTTGTTTTTTTTTTTTTGGGGAGAGAAGAATGAGTGAAATAATGAGGTGGGTGGCGGGCGTGGACTAAGACTGGTTCAAGGAAAGCATGCAGAGGAGAGGTAAGGTTGCGTTTTTTGTTTGATTAAGAATTTTTATTTTTTTGGGCAGTTCCCTATAATTTAATACCGTGGGAAGGAACCGACAAACTCTCCTTCTTAAGCAAAGGACGCGTTTGACGATTTATTGTGTCTTCTGTTTTCAAAGGAGAGAGAAAGACAGAACTGTGGTTCAGTAGTTTCTGCTTTCCAATTTCCATTATCTACCACTTCCAGAAACATAACTCATCATTCCCTAAGTTATAAATCAAAACCGGAAATAGAAACACATGAATGATGAATCAGTTTTTATTTTTATTTTTATATAATATTCTTTTTAAATTATTTTTATTATAAATATTAAAAAATAATATAATTATAAAGTCATGTGTTATAAATAAATATTTAAAAAATAATATCATTAACTAATATAAAAATAAATTATTTATATTTTAAAAATATTTTTTTATTTATAATAGAGAATAAAAAAGTTATATTATTCGGTAAAATTAAGTAAAAATTTATAAGTTAACAAATTAAATCGAAACTATTCCATAAAATGATTAGTTTATATAATAAATTAACCGATAAATATAATGATTAGTTGAACAATAAGTTAACCTATAAATATAAAATGACTCAATATGTAGTATTTATAATGAAAGTGAAAATAATTTGAGTTAAAAAGGTAAAAAAAAAAAGAAGTAAAAATAAATTAATAAAAAAGAAAAGAAACTTACTTGTGAAATTAAATAAGTTTTTGAAATAATTTTGTATAAACTTTTTATAAAAAAATTTGTTTTAATCAAATTAATTTATGAGTTAATCTAATCAAATTAATTTAAACTTATACAGAGGAAAATAAATCTAAAAATTAGTAGAGGGATGAATTATTAATTTTTTAATGAGCAGAGGGATAAAGATTGTTTGCACTTGCGTGAAGGAAAGAGAGACGTGGAAAGAAAAATAATAATATATGCGATGATTAAAGAAGAAAGAAATAATGAAGAACGTAAACGGATGTAAAATTTAGAATGTAAGAAAATAATTATAATTATTAGTAGAGAATGAGAGAGTAGTTTTCCCCTATTCAAAGAAAATGTTGTTTGGGTAGTTATCTTGTGGTAAGCATGACAATCCCGCCTTTAGAGTTTAGAGCAAAAAGTTGCAGATGCGAATTGGGTGCTTTTTCTGAGTTCTGATTCGTCTGAAGAACATTTTGGTTGGGTTATCTTGTTCTTGCGAACAGAGCACCAATAGTTCTTCTTTACTGGTCGCAAGTCTTGTACTACCAAAATTTGGATACAAAGAAATTTGATTTTTAGTAAAAGGCGTGGGCGTGGCCCCTTAGAATGCCAGAAAAACAAGACTCATAAAAAGTATAAAATAAAAAGCAAGTTTTTTATTTAAAAGAAAAATAAAAGTCATTTGTGCATGAGTATGAGTCCAGACCTCCCCGACTATGTAGGTAATGTACAAAGTTGCCACCACTTTAACACAAATATTTTGATTGATTGGATATACATGTGATAGTTGATTTATTAAATTGGACATTTAATTTATCTTTTTAAAATTTATTTAATATTTATGTAATTTTTACTTTATTTTTAATTTGTTAAATAAAATAAAATTAATATAATTTTATAATTATTATTTTATGTTGAAATTTTTATTTTTTTTATAAAAAATATTTAATTAGTTTTTAAACAAATACATATATATTTAACACTTAACGGTTAAAAAAATAAAAATACAAATTTCATTCCTATTAAATTTCTTATTTTATGTTGAACATGTGTCTCATTGTGTAAATATTATTGTGATGTTTTATAAGTCCAATTATTGAAAAACCCTCTGAGTAGGCATTATCTCTTAAAGTAGATTGTTGAATCTTCTTTAAATTCTTAGTTTATGTTGGAGTAAAGTATGAAGTCGATGACTACTATCCTTAACTGATTATTGGAGAGGTGTGTGGTATCACAAGGATAATTAGCTAAATTGTAATCCATATAGGACTTGATTAATACATGTCAATGTCGTGGTAAGTTCATACTCAAACTATGTTATACTTGACAATGATACTAGACTTTCCTAACCTAAGTGGAAACATCCAAGAAATCATGTGTAGGGATTGGTATCCTAATTAGTTGTTGATCTAGCAGACATAAAAGGCATGAAAATAGATCAATTGGTTAAGTTGAGTCAAGCCACTTAAACTACTCATCTTGGTGTAAGAGATCTCCATGTGTGAATGTGTGACAATGCATTCGTTGAAATGTATGCATATGACGTGGCATTACCTGGTGTTCACATGCTTTGGTGATTATATGGTTGTATGGAATGGTTATGGGGTAAGTTTGATTTGCTTAAGTTGTTTGCTTTTCAAGCTTGTTAATGTCATGTTGAGTGTTGTATAATGTGAACCATGAAATGCATGTTGGGTGGTTTACATGTTGGTAGTATAGTTGTATTTCATTTATACTTGTTATATGTTGATTCATTTGAAATTTAGCTTACCCTCTTAGAATAGTGGATTAAGCCTAACTCAACCCTACAAAATCGGCTTGTAAGGTGAGGGTTGCTTTCCACTTATATACTATTCAATTGTCTAATCTCTAATCGATGTGGGACTTGGGTTTTTCCAATATACCATCTTAGAATAGTGGATTAAGCCTAACTCAACCCTACAAAATCGGCTTGTAAGGTGAGGGTTGCTTTCCACTTATATACTATTCAATTGTCTAATCTCTAATCGATGTGGGACTTGGGTTTTTCCAATATACCATCTTAGAATAGTGGATTAAGCCTAACTCAACCCTACAAAATCGGCTTGTAAGGTGAGGGTTGCTTTCCACTTATATACTATTCAATTGTCTAATCTCTAATCGATGTGGGACTTGGGTTTTTCCAATATACCATCTTAGAATAGTGGATTAAGCCTAACTCAACCCTACAAAATCGGCTTGTAAGGTGAGGGTTGCTTTCCACTTATATACTATTCAATTGTCTAATCTCTAATCGATGTGGGACTTGGGTTTTTCCAATATACCCTTGCATGTTTTCCTTGATGATTGGACTACAACGATTATATTTTCATGGGAGTAAGACAGGGTTAGCTAGAGGTAGGATATAGTTTTGTGTGACCATATTGGTGATGACAGAGCTAATTTGTTAATGCTACTATGATGTAGTTGTTTTTGGTAGAGCTGCTTGACCGACAATTTAAGATTAATATTTAGTACTAGATTACTTTACATATATAATTTATATACTTGTTTAGTTATTTTATATCTTTAGTTGTTGTTATAAATTTTACACACACACGCATATATGTTATTGTACATATATTAAAGTATTGTTTATATATTAATCATAGGCAATTAGATGTTATATTATTTTGCTGCAGTAAAAATTGTTAAGTGTAAGAACCATGACGGATCATTACAATAACATAAATTATATTTTATATTTATGATAAATAATTTATATTGTATCATAATAATTTTTATTTATTGATAATCTATTTCAAAATATTAAAATTTAATTTATAAATAATTATGATAAATAAAAATCAAATTAGATAAGAAGTTAAAAAAAATTAAAAACCCTATCGTCAAAGAAAATTTCTAAAAATACTATCGCACAAGATAGGAGTTTGTGTTTAATATATAGGAGTTAATACATATCAATTTTTTATAAGTTTAAATATATTTTTAGTCTCTCAAATTTAGTATAAATTTGTTTTTGGTCCCTCAAATTTAAAACTGTTATTTTTAACCCTGAATTTTCAAAAATCTTGTTTTATGCGATATTAATTGGATTTAATGTGATGTTCTCACTAATAAGGACACCAATAAGTATATTTTATATGATAATATTTGACAGCTTTCTAACAAAATTTGAGTATAATGACTAAAATAAGTTTTTTTGAAATTACAAAGTCTAAAAAGATCGATTTTAAATTTAAGAAATTAAAAATAAATTTACCTTAAATTTAAAGACTTAAAAACATATTTAATTTTTTTTTATTTCATAATATATCCTGAGATACAAACACCTGGATTAAAATATGCGAGTATATTCTATTTTATTTTTAAAATTAATAAAATAGATTGTTTTGTACTTATTTTGTAGTAGTAATTTTTTTAGTAAAAAAATATAACTCTTTCTCATCAAATTGATCCTTATAGAGAAAAATTGATACTTTCAACATAACTCCATATCCAAAATCGAGAATTAAATCTCATCAAACTATTTGAATTAATAATTTTTTTGATTATATTTAATTTAATTCATATATATCTTATCGAAAATGATAATCGATTATATTTCAAAATTATTAACAATAAATAACGCGTATAAAATTTTATTTCTGAATCAAATTGATTTTCTTAATGATTCCAACAACACAATGTTTGAATGGACCTCTTGATTTTCTTAATGATTCCAACAACACAATGTTTGAATGGACCTCCAACATTCCATTTGAATCTAGTGGGGGTTTTAGTTGAGTGAATGCACTCTGCCACTAATGCACCTGACATCATAATTCATTGTTATATGTTTAATATATCTGATTAAGATTTGAGAGAAAAACATTATCACATGCAGAATTTGTCTCATTCACTGAATAATGGTTCTTCCAGATGGCAAAGCTCATTGTGAAGATGTGTCTCAAATTATACGGCCATGCATGGACCATGGTGGAACCGGATTCGAAGCAGCCATACACATATATATAAAGAAGAGTTCAAACGACACTGATATAACTTTTATTAAGTGTTACACTGCTCAATAATTTTAAATTAAATGTGAATTTTGTAAATCTAACAGTTAGATTGAAAGTTATTTACTCTTAAATTATATATACAAAATTTTATATTAATCCAAAATGATTTGATACTTCATTCTTATAAAACAAAATTGACGTAATATATTTATTTTTAAATATACTAAAATATGAACACTTTGATTACCCTCAAGTTGTTGTTTAATTTTAACAAAATTTGATATACACATATAAAGTGATATGAATTTTCAATCTGACGGTTAGATTTACAAAATTTACATTTAATTTAAAATTATTGAGCGATGTAACACTTAGTAAAAGTTACACCAGTGTCGTTTGAACCCTCCTTATATATATATATATATATATT